TGGTTAGATTTGATATCAGCCTCGCCGTTCCCAACTAGCTTCCAACGCCTGGTTATCAAGATAACTGCACTGATCTCCAGTCTGCCTACCCACGTTGTGAATTGATCTTAGACAGACGAGATCAAACAGGGTTGGGGCCGTAATGCAAATTGAGTTCAACGGGGTGATAACACAAATATGCATAAAAGAAAAGAAAATGAAAACTCAAAAGTTCAAAGTATCAAAGAAAAAGGTAACAAACTTTATGTCTAGTTGTTCGATACATAGGACTGCATCTATCGTTCTGTGGATTGTGACACGTCGCTTTCGCTAGGCAAGTTTTAACGCTTCAAGTTGTCTGATCTCTAAGAAATTTGTGTTTCGGTGTGTCTTTGGACGAAAGTCGAAAAACTTATTTCTGTGGTCTGGTTCTAAGTCGCTCTTCAAAATAATTGTTCTTGGTTGAAGAGGAGTCCAAAATTTTGCGTGAATCTTGGTCAGCTATCTTGGTCTATCATCTCTGCCGTCCGGGACTGAACTGTCTTCTGCCCGCCAGGGTCCGAACGAACTCTCTTCTGCCCACCAGGGTCTGAACTACTGGGCACTCATCTCTGCCGTCCGGGACTGAACTAACTTCTTCTTTTCTGCCCGCCAGGGTCTGAACTAACTTCTTCTGCCCGCCAGGGTCGAACGAACTGATTTCTGCCTGTTGGGGCCTCGTTTTTATTGACGCCGTCAAAAACCGGGTTGGGTCTGTTAGCGTCGGGGAGTTCCTCGATAATTCTAAATACATATCCGCCTCTTTTATTTCTGGTTAGGGATTTTCCACTCTTTTCCATTTTTGGTAACTTTTTTTCTCACTCCCACTTTCTCACCATGCTTCTGAGGGGCGTGAACTGCCCTCCCCACTTCGGCTTCGTAGCGGCTTCTCATACTTATACTCTGGATGGGGGCGTCGACAGTTTTCTTCGTGCGTCACGTGACCACTCTCGGCCAATGAGATCTTGGTCGGGTATCTTTCCTCCTCCTTCGTGCGTCATGTGATCACCACTTGGCCAATGACCTCTTAGTCGGGCGTGAACAACCTGCGGCTTTGTTTTGGAAAAGAAATATACCTTGCTTAACAAAAAAAAATTAATGATCTCTCATTTTTCTTTTTTTTTTCTTTCTTTCAAATCGCCGTTATCATGAACGGATAATGTGACAATTATTTGTTCAACACGTGGCGTTTGTCAAGCAGTTTATCGGTAATGCATCAGACGGCTGAATTTTCCGACATGGTCTAAGAAAGGAATTTTCTCCAAGTTCTCAGCCAGTCTGACGTCTCCGAGGCAGCAATAAAAACATTTCATTTTCCTTCGGTTCATGTGTCTGATAACAAAATTTTATTATCGCATTTTATTATCTGTTTGTCGAAAAAAAGCTTAACTAGTGAAACTTCTTGTGTGGGATTTTAATTTTCCATACCCAGCTAAGGCTCCAAGCTACACCTGTGTTTTGTCAATTATCAACTTTCTTTGGTGAACATTTCTTGATAACACAATTCCATTCGCGCGGACAAGTGGGGAAATCGGTCAATGCTTGCTCGCAGGTGGCCTTTTAATTTTGATAGTAAGATGCTTTCTCGTACCAATAGTTTAGATAACACTTCCCTACCCACTCAATCTCATTGTCATTGTAATGACACTTTTTTCGGCATCTGCCACTTATCCAAAATAACCCTTTTCTTTCTTTTTGCCTCTTTAGCCGTGTGTGTGTGTGTTCGCCTATGATCCGTCTCGCATTACTTTTCCCTTCCTTTCTTCTTTTTCTTTCTTTCAAATCGCCTGGATGCATGGTGCCACATATGTATATATATCCACTACCGAGAATCGAACCCGGACCGCACAGTACTTTCTGTATTCTTTTGATGATTCTTCTCTGCTCGACGAATTACTATAAAATTAGCCCAAATCCCCAAATCAATCATTTGTATAACCTTGCTAAGTCCAACTAATGGTCTGCGATGGAGCGGCTAAGAATCAAAAAGCAGTCGTCGTGTCTCTTGGGGCACTGTTCCGAGGTTATCTGAATTCTTGGATGGGTATCGCTGCGGTACTGAGTGAGTAGATCGAGTCTGGTTTGTGTCTCCTTCGTCACCGAGTACCGTTTGTACAGTTAGTATGACGTTTGCGTTGTATCGAAACGGTACGGGTTCGAATCTCGGTAGTGGATGCGCAATGCTGATGAGTCCCCCAGATAGGACGAAACGACCGTCCAGTGCTTTCTGGATTCTTCTAGGCTCGACGAATTACTATAAATATATTGATCACATCGATTACCTCCCTTTAACTAATCAGAGGTATTTTGCGTCCAGCGTTCAAATTTTAAATTTTAAGCATACTCCAATTCCCTTTTTTTTCCAGTATTGACTCAGACGTGTACTTCATTTTCTGTACTTAAACCTCGGTATTGCTTTAGTACTATTTTTGTGTTGTTTTCATTTTGAACTTTGAATCAGCGTCCATTCGATGTACATCTGTATACTTTTTTTTTTTAAATAAACAATCTCACGGGCTCGATGAATTGGGTAACCAACGAAGTTCGAATCGCACACCAAACGTATATGTATATCTATTAATATATATATCTTAGCTCTGTCTAATCACAGTGAGTATTATTATGTTTACACCTCTTGCCTAAATTTGGTAATTATTTATTTGGTTACCAGCGTATAGAGGCCAGCACACACGTATACGGTCGGTAATATCTAGTTATCTCATTTACCTAACCCTCTCTCTCGCTCTCCCTCTATCTCTATCTCTCTCTCTCTCTCTCTCTCTATATATATATATATATATATATATGAAAGAACATTCGGACAGTTTTTATATAATTCATCATCCGAAAAGAAAATATATATATATACGATCGCATGGGAAATTGTATGAAAACTAAATAAAAGCACCTTGTCTGTCGTATTTAATGAAATGTGCATGAAAGAAGGATTGCTGCCTAAATACACACACACACACACACACACACACACACACACACACACACACACACACACATATATATATATATATATATAATACATCTTGCAGAAACTAATTCAACAAAACAGATTTGTTACAGTGACCTAAAGAATATAAAACAAACACTTGTTAATAATAGTTTTCCAAACTATATAGTTGATGAACAAATAAGGCGCTTTCTTAGAAATCTTAATACTTAGCAACTAGTACATAATACTGCTTCTACTAATCTGAAACATATTAATCTCCTATATCGTAATCAATGCCTACTAATTATAAACAAGATGAAAATATACTAAAAATATATTAAATACTAATATATCTATAACAGACCCTAACAAAAAAAATAAAAAAAATAAAAAGAAAATGGTTAATCATATACTACACTAAATCTAGTATATCCAACTCAATTATTCGCAATGATTCTTCTCCCTCGGTTAGGGATTTGCAAAAAAAAACAACAACATAACTTTGACATTTTTAGACATTTAAAACAACATGCCTGGCGGAATACACATTTCCGGAAAATCCTTGTTGAAAACACAACTATATTTAAACATGAAAACGGTAAACAAATACTAAAAATTCTTGAAGCTACATATATAAAACAGTTGAAATTTTTGTAAGTTTGTATAATATTTATGCATTACACCCTAATCTTTATTCGGTAAAAATTTCATTGCTAATTATGCATTACTTTTTATGTAATACACATATTTATGTCTTTGTTCGTTTTCGTTCCTTATATTATGGCCTCTACAGTATATATATATATATATATATATATATATATATATATATATATTGATGCATGTTTCATTAAATAATATAGACAAGTGCTGTCTATTTATTTTATGTAAATTCTTTTCATATTGTCTGATAAGCTTTATAACATTATCATTAAACGAAGAGAGACAATCACCATATTGATGCATATGTTTTAATCCTATCTAAGCTTTCGGCTTACATTATCAAAGATGACAATTACATTAGAATATATTAAGCAATACACGGACAAAACAATGATAGTCTCTTTCTGTTTACATGGAAGATTTCCAAGCAACGAAAAACTAGAAGCGAAAATCGCACCGCTGTTCATAACGTCACACAATACCACGCGAGAATGAAAACGAGAAGTATTAAGTATGGGAAGCCGTTGGTATAAACCAATGTCTTCTGTTATCAATTATACGCATTTAAGAATATTTGTGGAGATTTCATAGTTTATTTTGTTCAGGTTAGGTTTCAACTGTTTTATGTATTTATACTGGTAACCTCGCTGTCATGTATGTACATCGTATACCATACTAGTGCACTGAGTTTGATCCACACTCAGCTCAGCATTTTGCAGTTAAGGCTACGCCATGTAACATCCTGGACGCCAGCTGTAGTGAAAAGACTTATTAATCATTTGACAAGATTTGCTGGAAATCTTCGCCCATCTCAGCCGCCAGCCTTCATAGATACTTACGTGATAGGCCATGTAAAATGAAAAATATTCTAACATGAAATGTTCATTATGTTTTCAAATTGATGCGATTTAAACGAAATGGGTCGATAGGGAAAAAAAAGTCAACCAATTTCATAATTTCTCTACATAATATTTTCTTTTCATGAAAGAACATTCATTACTGTAATCAATTCATCAGCATTGATTTTCATTTAAATTATATTCTACCTACCACGAAGTAAATTTCCACGGATAAATTGATTTTATTGAAATTATTGAAATGATGACCAAAATTCTTCCACCTGCATTGGAAAAAGAAATTCACAATCTTAAGAGTTTTACGGTAGTAATTAGCTTCAAAAGGTGGCCCAATTTTTTATTATCTTTTCTATGATTGGTTACATTCACACACACACACACACACACGCACACACACACACACACACACACACACACACACATATATATATATATATATATATATATATATATATATATATATATATATATATATATATATAAAGAGTGGTAGGTGGAGCGCGATATAAAGATACTGTGATAGATAGATAGATAGATAGATAAATAGATAGATAGATATGGATAGACCAAAATAGATATATACATATGAATAGACCTAGTCGGTAGAAAGATGCATATAGATGAACAGACCTAAATAGACAGATAAATAGGCCGATAGATAGGTATAAATAGACGAAAATAAAGAGATATATGTGAATAGAACTAACTAGATAGATAGATAGATAGATAGATAGATAGATAGATATGAATAGACAAAAAAATAGATGCATATGAATAGCCCTACGTAGGTAGATAAATAGATAGATAGATTTCATGTACAGACCTAGATAGATAGATAGATGAACAGACATATATACATAATCAAAATAAAGAATTTGATAGATATGAATGGACATAAAAATTATAGATAGATTTAAATAGAACTAAGTATATAGAGAAATATGAAGAGACAGGGATAGATAGATAAATATATATGTAGATAGGTACGGACGTGAGGTTGGGATATATAGACATATACATAGATTGATTTTAGGCCTAGTAATCAACTCTACTGAAAGCTTTCTTTGAGGCGTTAAATTGCAATCACTATGAAGTGTTGATTTCTATGTAAAATATATTTATCTATATATTTTTCCATGTAAAATATATTTATCCTTTATATTTCCTATATTCTATATTGAGCACAATACTATAAATATAGCATACAATACACACACACACACACACACACACACATATATATATATATATATATATATATATATATATATATATATATATATATATATATATATGTATGTATTATTAAGATGGCATTTTCAAAAAACGGATATTCTTTGGATGTTTTGGACCATGATGTCATCAAAAAATTTCATAGGGTTAAGCCGCATTTTGGTAAAAAAATGTCCAGTTTATTTGCGTCTTCCCTTAATTGGTTCAGAGGGTGAGTCTTTATCTAGACGAATTTCAGGTGTGATTAATAGCTGTTAGTTTTCGGCTCATGTTCGGGTAATATTTGTTACCCGTTCTGTTTTCTCTTCCATTCGTAAGGATGTCCTCTGCCCCCATCATGTTAATTCAGTGATTTATAAATGTAAATGTAGTTGTGGACTCGACTATATAGGGAGGACGACCCAACGTTTGGATCTGAGAATAAAGCAACACTTTACCCGCCCAGGATTTTGAATCCGGATGCCAGGAAAATTCAACTAATTAATACTTCTGGATGTTCTATTGCAGAGCATGTAATAAATAGTAGGAATTGTGTGTTTGATTTAATGCGGACCGTTTTTCGATTTTTTCTAGGTCCGACTCCTCATATCACGTCAAGGTTCTACAGTCCTTGTATATCAGATCCCGTAGGCCTTCCCTTTGTAAACAGAGGAAATGCTTACTTGGTCTGAAATATATTGGACTCTAGTTTTATTGAAATTCATATTTTTTCCTCCCACTCCTTATATTAATTTACTTTACACGCTTTTATATTTTTTATATCCCGGAAAATAAACTTGATAAATCCTGGGACGAAACCGGTTGTTCTTTTTTAGCTTTTTTAAAATGCCATATAAATTTTGCTTATTTCTAACTATTGTTAAATTTTGTACCATAAAAATGAATGTGCATGTGTGATTCAGTTCTAAAGGCAATAATAGAATTGTTGATTGTTCTTAATCTTAAAAACGGGCGCGATTTGTGAAATTCTCACAGATAAAATGGTGTACCAAGTTTCTCGTATCCGATTTGGTGTATACTGCAGTTAATGAAGTTTTTTTTTCAAGGAGAGATTGTCAAAGATTTTATCACCTCCTTCCGGAGGCTCAGCAATTAAAAAAAAAAAATCTGAAGCAGTCAAAATTCATAATACTTCCCATTGGGTGATGTGAAAATTTGTTGAAAAAATATTTTGCATGGGGGATCTGATTTGTGCTATGAAGAACAATATTACTTCTACTGCCTCTCCAAAGTCGATTTTTAAAGTTCATCAGAAAATAAAATTCTGAAGATGTTTAAATAATATCGAAACAGGTTAAGTTTATAAACATTTTCTATTTGTTCTTGATTCTGTTATATATATATATATTGATAATGTTATATTTATGAATATGTCCTGAAGATGGTTTATTAGACTGAAACGTCCGACGTTGACATATTAACATTAAAACAGCATAATTGTATATAAGGATTTTTGTTTTGTTTTTTCCGTATATATTTTTCTTCATACTGTCGGATCTATATCCATATATTTGCTTACACACATATATATATATTAATTTGGGAACATTAGGGAGATTTTCCTTAGTAACGGCTATCCGGAGGCCCTTATTGACTATATTATTAGTAAGAAGACTAAGGAATTTCATTCCCCTAAAATCCAGGGGCCTTCTAAATGTCGGTTTATTTGAAGATTCCCTGGATTGGGGATAGGGTCGATTCTTAATTAAGCAGGTTAGCAGGTCGGTTTCCGGTTGTTTCCCATCAGTTGCTTTACGTCGCATTTTTCAAACTAGGTCTGCGTTTCCGTCTTTTCGCAAGGATGTATTGCCTTACATCAAATTGAGTAATTTAGTATATGAATTTAATTGCCAGTGTGCTGCTGGTTATGTGGGGCGTACAACCTTGCATTTGGAAACTAGAATTAATCAGCACGTACCTTATAAAATACGACTTGGTAAGATAGATAGAATATGCTATCTTCCCCCATGAATATGGAATCGGCTATTGCTCAACATTTAGTTGAGAATATAGCTTTGTAACAAGTTGTATAAAAAAGAGTGGTTTAAAATTATTCATACAGCCAATTCCAATAATCATTTGAAGATTTTGGAATCGGTCTGTATAGGATTAAGAAACCTTCTCTCTGCCGGCAGAAAGAATTTATAAGGTCTCTGAATCTGTTGGGGATATTTTATTCTAACTGTCCCTCGCTAATTTATTTACACGATCCTTCCTCGTTACAAGTATATATACTTGTTTGGTATTTTAGTGTGTTTCCCCCTCTTTTTTTTTGCTCTTCAATATCGTTAATATTCTTTTCGCTAATCCAACGATTGTCTCCTGATGAGATGTTGGCTGAAAGGGCCCTAGAGACTTTTAAAATTAAAATCAATGGTTTCCTTGTTTTTAAAACTATTTATAAATTTTGTACCTCTCAAACATTTGTTTATATATATATATATATATATATATATATATATATATATATATAGATAGATATATGAAAATTTCTGTTGATTTAACCAGTAGAGAAGACAATATTTATGAATAAAAATGACAATAGGAAAACTGGTAATTGCTTGCTGACGCGTTTCGTCCAATGTGGACTTTATCTACGCCCAGGTTTTTTTCCCCATTTCACCTTCCTTAACAAAATTACTGCTCTCACAAACAAATATACACAACAGATTCTTAAAATCAAAAGAAAATGGTTGAATACATCAACACAGATATAATGACAATATTTTCCACACGTGACAATCTCTGACGTTATTTTTCAGTTAAAAAATATGAAAATAGCGTTTCTCTACATTCCAGTTGCTAGGTACATTCTGTTTTTGTTTTTATTAGTTACATTGTTCAATTAATTTCATTATGAACATTAGACGAAACGCGTCAGCAATTACCAGTTTTCCTATTGTCATTTTTATTCATATATATATATATGTATATATATATATATATAAAAAATATGGTAAAATATTTTTAAATGTATGTAATATTAAAGTGGTCAATATGATGGATAGAACGTATGTAAATATAAAAGTGGACATTGGCGTCAATACTCAGACGCGACACTCTGTTTCATGCTTAAATGCAATCAAGCTATAACGATTGCGTTTAAGCATGAACCAGAGTATTTCCGTTGTGTTTTGACTTCAGTGCCAATATTAGTGGTCAATATATATATATATATATATATATATATATATATATATATATATATATACACAAAAATTCCCAAGAGGATAGAATCCAGTAGAAATCGATGTCCAGGACAGAGATTAATTAATGAATATCAAACACTTAAAATACCATAGGTAATAATCTTTATTTCATGAAATCTATAAAAATAGCCTTCAATTATTCAGACCTGTAAACTGAACATAAACGGAAAAAAAATACGCCAGGTTAAATTCAAGATATACAGATATTGTATTGCGGGAGAGAGAGAAAAAAGTGAAGGAAAGATTCAAAATTATGAGCATGTAATGTTTGCGTTGGGGGAAGGAAGAAGACCCGAGGATTCATTCTAGTTGACTTTAAAGTTTGAGTTGACATATTTAATATCACACACACACACACACACACACACACACACACACACACACACACACACACACACACACACACACACACACACACCGATGTATATATATATATATATATAAGTTGGGATCAAATATGTATCCATCTCCGACAGAATGACATGATAAAAATAATTAAGAAACGTTTAGCAATCTAACATGTTTCACATTTATTGTCATAAGATTTTAAAAATGTGAAACATTTTAGATAGATGGATGTCTCCTTTTGTTCTTTACTTCTATCACACGCATATATATATATATATATATATATATATATATATATATATATATATATATATAATATTATAAATTAACTGATTTAAAATATGGTTTCATCTTTACACAGGAATTACCATGTTTCAAAAAAACAGAATTTAAAAAACTTCAAATTCAATTACATTAAATTAAAAGCATTAGTTCTGTTTCATCTTCAAGCGAATTTTGGAATTCTGTTTTTGAAACATGAAACCATATTTTAACTTAATTTATAATATTTATACTCTGTAAATTTACATTGAGCACTGTTTTTAAAAATAAAATATCAATAAGAAACACCGGATTATATATCTTACTGTTATTCCTTTTTTTTATAATATATATATATATATATATATATATATATATATATATATATATATATATATATATATATATATAATGAAAAATACGCATACATACAAAAAAAACTTCCCTGAAAAAATCTCCCTTCATTTTTTCATTTTTTATTTCTCGTCTCGTTGAGAAAGAACATAGGATATCAGAAAATTCCGATAAAAAACAAACAAAAAAAAAAGCAAAAAAACTTTTTAATCATGCTGGAATTTGATCAAAAGACCAACTCATATACAATAAATGTTTGTTAGTCTTATTATCACTATTATTAATTTTCTTGTTTAGAATATAACACTGTTATTCTTCGAATCTATAAGACATTCATTTTATTGTTTAGAATATAACAATAATCTCTGAAATATCTCGTTATTCTTCCTTTATAAAATCTATAAGACATTCATTTTATCAACAGTTTTTCCTACTGATCATAACTATTTTCATGTCTGGTTCTTGTATATTTCATACCAAACGTAATTTGTGTTTTCCACTGATACAAATCAATTTTT